TTCAATGCTCTATGATAATCCACTCAAAAATCACAATATGTTGGAAGAAGAGTACATGAACACATACATCCATCCCGTTCTAAAGAAGGCTTTGCGCAGGTTTTCGAACATTCGTTATATACAGTAAGTATTATTCCTAATAATATTTTTTTATATTATTGTGTTAAGTTTTGATTTTTTTTATAGAGGTAACAAGGCTGTTCAAGCGTCTGCGTATAGGAAACTAGTAATGAGGCAAGAGGGATGTGCAGATCGTTCAGACGGCCTCGCTTACATTACTACCGAAAAACAATATGAAATATGTGTTATAGAAGGATCTAGACCATATGTCGTTGATGACACGAAAGAAATGTCTGATTTTGTTCAGAATGCGAAGGCAGGAAAAGATATAATAAATTACACTGTTGTGTCTGAAGTTAAACTGAAGCGAGCTCCGCCTTTACAATTTAAGGCCTATATGGTGCAGAGTATTGGACTAAGTCTTAGGTTTTACTTTATGGATTATTTAGGTATATACTGTATATATTTACGAACATTGTTACTAGAAGAGATTGTTTTGCTAACAAAATTTTTTCATTTTTTTCAGGAAAATATCGGCTCTTCGAAATCGAAACATGCGAAATTCCAACGGACCTGGAAGGCGTTGATTTATTTCCATCTTTTTTTAAGGCAGTTGTGACTTGGGCTGTAAGTAATATAACTATTTGTTATTTTGGATTTGCTTTTACTGATTTCATCTATCGTTTTTTTATCGTGTAGTTGATGGTTTGGGACACTGATCAAGAGTTCCGAACGGTGAGAAACAGAAGGAGCGCGCGCTACAGTAACGCTCATAATTTGCGAGTTTTTTCGGAAATACAGTAAGTCATAACAAGCCTCGTACAGGCAATAAAAAATCATAAAGGAAAAAAATATAATATAATAATGATAAAGGCAACATCAATCTTGTTACAGTTACAGTCACATGGTCGGGACCGGCAAAATTAGTGTTCTATGGAGGGGTGACTGTATTAATATTGTCGGGGGTTAATATCGTTGGGTATTTCTTAGTCAGTTATTTGAGTAATAAATACATATACAGTCGTTACAACAATCAATTATTACTATCTGCTTGAGTGTCACTCGTGTTGATTCAGGTGTAGCTAACCAAAACTCTCGTGTTGATTCATTCATTGTCGCTATATGTGTGCATCCATGGTCTGTTAATAGAGAGTATTCAATCCATTGTATATAGGCATCACGTTCATTCTTTGTATTACTCCACGACTCCATAATAAATGAATCCAATAACTTGTTGCCCGTAGTCCAATCAGGAGGTTGTGGTGCTTTACATTCATAACAGAATGCATTTATACTAGGTAGAATCCATTTTGCACACCCCAGACATAATCGATGCCCATAATATTCCCTTATTAGACAATGCTTTCGTTCACTTGCATTATATGGATGCTTGTCACATGGAAATGATACATAATAATAAGTCAATATTTATTTAAACTATTTAATAAACATGACGCATAAGTAAATAGTTTACCTCGGTCTCATCTGTTATCTCAAGTGGAATCAATTCAACCTTTACATAATAAAGAGTAGGTAGACCATACGTATCCTTCGTTATTTCCCAATTAGTAATGCAATCAAATGGAATCCATTCCAAATAGGCATGATTTGCTGAGTTTGTAGTTGAGATTTCTTAATAAACTCATCGAGCTGCTTATTGTTGCTAGTCCATCCATCGGATATTTGTTTATGTCCACAAATGACGGGACTATTCCACATGCGGAGCAGAATCCATATCCAGAATAACAGTGGTAAAACTTTCTATCAGCAACCATGTAATAGTTATCATTATACTCGGTAAATCCAATTATGAGTTTGTTGCGATAACTAAGCCATTCGGAGTATCTTCTGAACTGATAACGTCGTTGTTATTGTACTTGTGTGTTGAAAGTGAGTATATTCTAGTAAACTCACTCACAACAGTTGGTGTACATATCTCATCATTTCCAAGGTATAGTAGCATTATGTTAACGCTGTAACGACTAGAGTAGTAGACATTATCCATTGGACTTGACGTTATGTCGGTAATTTCGGAGCAAGGAATCCATTCACAACCCCTGATGTTAATGTTAACGACGACAAAAACATAGGTTTGAATTAAAAAATTTTTTTTTCAAGTGGAGGAGGGAATTCTCATATGACAACCTTTAAGAAATTTATGCAATTACGTCGTCTGATAAAATAGACCTTTTTGCTGCTATCAGCAAGCCTATTAGGTTTTCATTATTGACAAACAACATAGTTAAATCATAAACACGCATTGTATGTTTTCATAAACTGATCCTTCTTTTTGTCTATTTGATGACCGTAGTTCTCTAGTCGCGTACTGTTGTCATAAAAATATGCTTGTTCGTTCAGAGCGTCTGGTTGGCTTGTCTATTTTTAATTAGGAAGAACATTTATATAGAAACTCTTTCCGTATTTCCAAGCCTTTATATAGTCACAAGATGTTAGTTGCTTGCGTTGCGAAGTAAGCACCGCCCCCAAATTTATATCGAAAAGTAATCGATCAAATGTATTTTCACGAATCCTTATCTAAATCCGCTGTTATACCACACTTGTCAAAAGACTGAATTATATAGTTTGAGCGGATATGTTACCATGAATGCTTGACCTAACTACACACATCGCTTATCTTGCACGAGGAAGGTATTCCTGTTACAGTTTCTCCAGCACCACCACTAGCTATCCAAAGATGCCATTCTTTGCGGAAGTTACCTTTAAATGCAACGCCAAGGGGTTGACAATACTAGTTACTAATAATCAGGATGCTTCTGGGAATAACATGCATGCTATTTTACTATAAGATTTGGTCGAAGGCTCCAACGGAATAACTCTTACAGTGGAATAATACAGTACTTATAGGATCGATTAAATACGATGGAAAACTACTAATAAATTTACGATTGGAAATATTCAACCTGATCTCTAATGTTTTCTCTAATGGTAGAAATTCAGTCTGGTAATCTCTAGCCTTCAGCATATGCTGAACTTATTCAAGTTTACAGCGTCGAGAGCTTAATCAGTTGGAACGATTAAGTATTATCGATGAAATTCTAGCAACGTTCTTAATAATACGATCATACCTAATAACAACTGCTCGTACAACAGTATCATATACTAGTACTGAATATGCGTAGGGATATAAATATGTACAAAAGACTATTAGGAACAAGAATAGTGGTATTTAATTTTGCGCACCAGAGTGACCAAAAAAATTAAGTTATCAATTATGCTCATTAATGGCTTTGGGTTCGAGTATTTGGTGCTTTCACTATTGTTTATATTTTATTTGATTGTAATGGCATCAAGGTAGTGGAATGCAAGTCAAATACAATGCACTTTTACTAATTATCCTGATCAGTGGGCCTTGCTGAGAGTTTTATATTAAATTGCTTTCCTCTTTCTTAGTTCATCATAATTATAAGTCAGTATTTACTTTTTTATTCTTCTTGATAAGTTTTATACATAATTTTTTACTTATCTGATAGAGAGAAGCAAATTTAGGCTTAAATATTGCTAAATACAAAGTTATAGTTAACTAGTAATATTTGTTCCAGTGTTTAAATCGAAGAAAAAACATATCAGCTATTAATAGCCATAATAATAACTTAGTATATAATAATCAGGAATAGAATTAATATTTGCCATTCGAAACTTTCTATTTTATTTTTTTTTCATGTCACCAGAAAGGCAAAGGACAATGGTTGGTCATGTGTCGAAATATATTTGGGAATCGAGATATTGACAAGTGAAAGCCTAGTATTTCATTGTAATAATTGTAATGCCATATATAATATGTCCGCAGTTGTGGCACAAAAGGTCATGGTCTAATTGGTATGGCCTAAGTATAGTATTTGACCCAGCATTGAGGAAATCCGGATTTCTTTGCCGATCCATAATCATCCAGTAACAACAATTTTTACATTAATATCTAGAGTGAAAATAATTTAAGAGGCTTCGCCTCTTCGGCATAACGATTGCATGAAAATGTTGTAATAACTATATGCGCAATACGGAAATAATTTTGTGTTGTAACAATGAAATATATTGATGAAATAATTCTTTGATAGTTTTATTTAATTAGCAGGTTGTATTGTATATGTGAGGAATGATACTAGTAACGTTTTCGGTTTTCAAAAGGAGGAATATACATGTATATTTTCATATGGAATGTCTTATATCCATTGATATCGGTGCCGTATACAGTAGATTTTTTGTTTGATATGGTGTAGAAGTTGGAGCATAAGGTGAAATACAGTATAAAATGCTCCTACGTACGTTCATTCCAACGCAAACGTGGATTAAACTCTAAACAAAATGACTAAAACGATTATACAGCAATGAGAGATACAGATAATAAGAAATTAACTTGAAAAAAAATTTTTTTTTTTTAATTATAAACTAATTAAGCCGCATTATACTTTTCCCTTTATGTATAAATGGTAGCTATTAGAGACTTTTTTTATAAATAACCAATCTATTAATACAAAGTATATATTTAGGACAACGCCTTTAATAAGATAATACGGTTTATTTTTAATAAATAAATTAAACTATTGAATACGTAAGTATGTACAATATTCACGAGAAAGATATATAAATAAGCATCAACATGCTCTTTTCCTTCATCCAAATCGAACACGTGGCACTATTACTATATTGTTACAATATGGGTCAACATAAATTCAAACCGTACAGAATAAACTACTATATAACTCAACCCTTAGACGTCAATTTCAAACACGCAATTGAATGTAATAGAGATTGCGTTAACATTAAATTATTTGATTTAGATGCTCAGCAAAATGTTACCATTAATTTTATTCCTCCTTGGTACTTACTGCACTAGATTACTTTACCCTACCAAAGCGAAATGGATTATGATCCCAACTATATATCTATCCTCTTCTCTTGAAAAATAAATTATCTCTTAAAGTTTCTGTTTGCAACAAGCGCCGATTCCCAACAAAAGACAAGCATGTCCTCAACTCCATCCGAAATTGAAGCTATTCTTTTAATACAAAGACGATATCTACCACCAATTGTTCTTTGGGATGTTAATCATTACACAGAGTATCGTACTCTATGCTAATGATATAACTTTTTCAAAAAAAAAAAATGAGAATACTTGGTACAATGCTGAAAAAACCGTCAGTGCAGCTAAATATCAAATGAACAATTGAGACATTGATGTCTACCTATTGAAACTAATAGATGGCATTTTCTCCTGTTTTTCGCAAATTAGCAACAATTAAATAAGATTTCTTTATTACGTTGAACATATTAGTTATGATAATGTTTGTAATATATCTATCTTAAGGAAATTAAACATAGAAGATAATTTTATTTCCAGTCGCGACTTGCGTTGGAAATGATACAGATTCACATGTATCAGTGAAGACTAATCTTACTATTTCCATTACATACAGTATTAATTTCTTAAAAGTGAATGATACATAATAATATGATGGAATGTGAAATCCAAGAGCGTATGTTACAGTGTTTATGTGTTGTGTTGTTGTTTGTTGATTTATACTGGTAATTTGATGTTATGTTTCGACGCAATAGCTTATACAGCACAGCAGTGCAGATAAAGAATGAGACAACAATAGTCACAATACGTCCACTTATATTCATTTACTACTATGTTTTTGTTTTGTATTTGCTGATGTAAACTCGAAACCTACAATACATCTATAAACGCCCTCCTCGTCCACGGCTGCTGGACGATGATATCCCCGCCTTAGACAAGGACGTTTAAATGTGTTAATACAAACATCAAAATAATAAATAGATTTATTACTCTGAAACTTATTCTCATGGTAGGTACGTACCAGAAATAACACTCAAAAGTTTTCGTTCCTTTTATAATTAACTGAGCATGCAAGTTTTTTTTTCTTTTTTCTTTTTTTGTGTTGTGTAGGCAGTAAATTTGGCATTTGTTATTCAAAAATGATAAACCGCACGTTATGGACACATTGATTAATAATATGTGATGTTACCAAATAACGCATTATTTAATATTGTCCACAAACAATAGAGATAATTTATAATGTAGTCGTTCCATCCAATTATGCATCTCAGATCTTCAGAATTTGGATACATATTCTCCTTCTTTACGGGTACTTCCTTCTTCTGCGTCTTCTTTTTAGAAAGACTTTATAAGAGAGATTTTTAATAGGGAGGGTATGACATCAATATTAATTACAATATGACATCAGTATCTGATATTTTTAGTGATTATTGCGCAAGTCGCTGTTCAAGGCACAAATGGCAACAGTGATCATGATTACTCAAATTATATAATAATTACCGAATGGTATAAAACATGTTATAAATAACCAGATGGCTTGCTGAGTAACAGAAGGATATCGGGCGCGAAGTTTTGTTTGGTGCCGGGGGATAAAACAAGAAAGACTACAAAAGCTGATGAACTCAAGAATAATAAGTATTGACGAAATAACCAAAATTAATTGTATTGGACGTTCATAGTTGATACGTCGGAGCGTTACGGTTCAGTGAACGAATAAAACGGTCGGATGATTATCAGCAGCTCCATTTTGGATATATTTAGCGCGGTGATTAAAAGTATTTGCTCAGTTATATGAGCCGTATACATTGAGTATAATATAAAGTCGGAGATTTGTGCAATGGGATTTGACGTCATACTTTATACTATTCCTTTGTAGCAATTTCGTAATAACCACTTATTATTAGGCAGAAACATGCCGAAAATACAGAATGCACACTGTTAAATCTGGTCAGATGGAATATAATGGTTTACGCGTCTAATAGACATGGATATCTCGAACGTTATTATACAATCTATTAATCAGAATCAAGATGACTAATGCAATTATATTTACACTGAATGGTAATTCAATAAAAGCATATTGTGATGCGGCACAAGTCATGGGTGTCAAAAATGTATAAGACTATACAGACTATACACTAATCCCGTTTACACAGTATGTCGTATTATATTACAAACATAATGTGTCACTTCACGTGTCCTATGTGTACCACTATTCATCATACAATACGTCATTGGTAGGACAATAGTAAGCAAGAATGGAACACGATCGATCATTGT